TGCTTGGGACAGTGCCTGAGGTTGTGTGCTAAGAGAACTTACTGTCAGGTCCATCTGGAATTAGGTAGCTTCTTAGTATGTCATATTCAGAAATGGCTTTTTTTCTGTTAGTGTTGAAATGGTCTGCTCTGTTCTGACTTTTCATCTGAATGTCATGAAGAGTGGTGTGAAGTTCTGAACCTCACGATGAGTCAGGGGTCCATGCAGAGTTGCAGGACATGCTTTGTTTCCTAAAGAATGTAGCTACTACACGGAAAACATTGAACGTACCTTAGTAGTGTGGACAGTTGAAGAACAACTCTGTACTGGAAGTGGTTTTGGCCTGCTAGATAGGATACTACAGTAGAATGGTCATATACAAATATCTCTTTTCTACTCTGGTGGGCTGACCTATCTTGGATGGCTGGCTGGCAGGTGCCCACCAAGCCACACTCTCACTCCTTTCCTCAGCAGGACAGGGGAGATAAAATTTAAAACTCCTCGGTCAAGATAAAGGCATTTTAATAAAGAAAAGCAAAGGCCATGCATGGAAGCAACAGAAAACAAAAAGATTTATTCTCTACCTCTATCAGTAGGTGATGTTCAGACACTTCCTGTTAAGCAAGGCCTCAGGATGTAGCAGTTGCTTCAGAAGACAGATGTAATAACAAATACCCCCTCTCTTCCTCCTTTCTCTTAGCTTTTATTGCTGAGCACGACATCATATGGTATGGAAGCTTTAGTCAGTTTGGGTCAGCTGTCCTGGCTCTGTCCCCTCCCCACCTCTTGTCCGGTCACAGCCTACTGGCCTTTGTGGGGGGGTGGGAGGGCAGAGAGAGCATCAAGTGCTGTGCAAGCACTGCTCAGTAGTGGCCAAAACACTGGTGTGATATCAACACCTTTCTAGCTACAAATACAAAGCACAGCACCATGAGGGCTACTACGGAGAAAGTCAACTCCATCCCAGCCAGATCCAATACATCCACATATAAGAAAATTTCTAGACTTGAATCCTATTGTGTTGAGGGGGAATATCTCCTATAGCAGAGGGAGAGAGAAAGAGGAAAGGGGGAGAGAGAGTGATACAGAGACAGAGGCATTCCCTTATGAGAAACATTTGGCTACAACATCAGCAAAGAACGAGTCTAAAATAGCTCCCACTCATTTGGCTGCCACCCAAGTGGGAAAAGGAAGTTGTTTAGTTTTCACAAGAAGGGATGACCCAAAAGAGCAGTCATTGCAAAACTCTCAATGATTGTCTTCTCTTCCCAAGAGTTTGTGCTACTGCCATATAGGCCTAGTACATCCAGATAAGTTGTTCTGAAAATGGGGCCAATTGTTAGGCATCCAACAGATGCCACAGAGTGGAAGGCTTGGACTTGCTTCCTTTCAGCAATGCTTAGACCAGATAGACGGCTTTCCCCAAAAATACGCATGTACATTCAGAGCTCAGTGTAACATGAGAATTCCTGAAGGGCAACATCAGTCTTCTCAGGGACTGAATGAGGGAATTCAAGCAGTAACTCTTGTCATCAGAGAAGGGGGATTTCTAGGAACTGGCTTTCCCTTGTTTCATAGAGAGCCTACAATCCCAAGCTAGCGCTGACTCAAGAGTAACAGGGTGTGAGAAATTGCAAATGCAGCAGCTGTAATTGCTTGAGGATAAGCCCTTGTCTAACCATGAATGCTAAAAATTGAACTTCACATTCCAGTGGCAATTCTGAATAAATCACTCAGTAAAGTGATTAGCTTGTATATGAGCAAATTATACTGGGCAGGCAGTAATTGAAGATTCTCAAATACAAACTTTGTAATTAATCTCCTTTTCAAAACAGATAGGTCCAAGTATTCTGAATCTTTTTAGTAAGGTAGTCAGAGAACAACACTGCATTTTCTTTTTTTGTTTTTGGCTGCTCCTAGACAACCCATTGCTGGGTAAATGCAAATACACTATGCTACCCTAAATATCACAAGTATTTTTGTCCTTAGTTTTCTTTTTCATTAGATAATTTCCTGAAATGTTAACTTTCCAGACATGGAAGATGAACTTGAGCAGTCTACTGTCTTTGAATCAATTTCCGTCTCTGCAAAATTATGGGTGTGCTTCGTTCTCAGTAAGGACTACCAGTGCACTTCTGGAATACAGAAGAGATCAGGACCCAGAGATAGTCACAACGCATGATAATAACAACGTGCATGGACTCCTGGGACCACAGGGGACTCAGCTTTTTCCATAATGCAGGACCCTTGTTACACGAATATTGACGGAATACTGTGAGGTAAGAGTGAAAGCTCTTAGATATAATGGAGTTAAGGCACTTGATACCAGTATTGAATACTGATAATTTTCCTGGGCTCATGCAGTAGTAGCAGTAGTACTTAAATTTGTAGTACCACAAAGAAGTCAGAACTTTATTGGCAGTTTTAATGGATTTCAAAAATTAGTGCTTATTATTTGTTGAGTAGCATGGGTTCTTCCCTTCAAATTTGTGCATAGAGACACTTTATGAAGGAGGAAAGAGGCAACTTATACTCCTCCTTTTACAAAGAGTTTGTGAAAAGGCCTGTCTCCAAACCTGAAGGGTAAAGAAGGCAGACTCTTGGCACTGTCATACTAGACCTCCTTGGAGAGAAAGGCTCCACCAGCAAGCTTCAAAGTGTTAGTATTTGAGGCAACATTCTTAACCTGCAGAAAGGTCAGATAAAGATATGTGTGCGGAAAGCTCTGGTGATGCCAGGCAGTCACCAATCAGCTCTGTGCAGATAAAGAAAAATAAATATGATATTTTATTGCCCCCAGACTTGCTGGGGACATGTAGGTCTCTTGATTCTGTAGGTATGCCATTATTGGGAATAGATATCTTGTGGTGCTTCCCCTTGGTGATTGGAGACATTTATGAACTTCTTAGTTGTGTGTGATAAGCCTGAGGGTTCTCAGTGGTTCACCACCAAATTTAAGAGCTTACGGTTTTTCAGCAAAGCGTAAAAACTATCACACATTTTGAGATTTCATCTGAAAACTTACAGCTTTTCAGAGGAGGGAGATGTTTTGAGTGCCTGAATCGTGACTATTAGCTGTCAGAGTCTACCCCATTGTAGACAAATGGTTTTGTGTTTCATTAGTATTATCAGAATGTAGTGGTTCCTGTCTCTGACACCTGACACTTTGAGAAGCACAGAACACCAAGACAGGCATGTAATGGTACCTCTGCGGCACTCTTTCTAATGTCCAGTGGCTTCAACCCTGGGATGTCCTGAGCCAGTCTGGGGTGGTTTTGTTTGGGTTTTTGGTTGGTTTTTTTCTGTTGTTGTTGTTGTTTGGTTTGTTTGTTTGAACAGCCCTTATTGGTTTTTCTTCCGCATATTTGTTAAACCGCTTTTTGTCTCAAGTACAATTTTAGAGTCTACAGCAACCATTGTCTGAAAACTCATCTACACATTCTGTGCAGAAGTACCCTGTCTTGGCTGTTTTGAACTTGCCACCTGGTATTTGCCTTTGATGCAGCAGGTGAAGAATGACTATGCTGGTTCAGACTAAAGCTTTTAGTTTCATAACCAAACAGAGACTGGATAACAAACTACCTGTGTTTCCAACAGCCTCAGAGATTCCTCAGAAATGAGACCTTTTTACAGAGTATAATCAGCATGAAATTTATTTATGGAGTGGAGCAAACAAAGCAATACAATTTTAACTTTCCTTTCTTAAGAAAGAAGGCTATGCATTTGAACTGTGCATTCACCATTCCACCTCTTCTTAGTAATTTCTGCCTTTGTTGGCCTATACTAACTCCTTTGTCTAAAGCAGTCTCAAAGCCAATTAAATATACATACCATAATTCAACATTTCAGTAAAGTCTAAAGTTAATGATTCATTTGAGGAAAAAATATCAGTATAACCTCAACATTTATTTAGCCTGTCTGGCTTGCCATTAACCCCTCAGCACCCAGATGGGTCAGCCTGTCTGCCAGTCAGCACATCAGGCCAGTTTCGAGTCAGTGACAGTATTTGGTGGTATGTCTCAGCTGTTAATAAGAGAACTGGGGCAGAGCAAAAGGTAATGTGGAAGGTGTGCTTAAGTATTACTGATGGAGAAGGGAAGAACTAGAAACACTGTAGGAATTCAGCTCAGGGAGCACATGAAGACCAACTGAGATTACTGCTATAGGATAGAGCAGGTGGAGATGTAAAGAACAGAATGGAATTCCATGGTAGGCCAGACTTCATCAGTTTTGTTTCTAATGGAGTAACTTTCTTACTATCAGAGTATACCTTTTTGACTAGAAATGAAATATTTACAAACTACAAAATATTTGTAAAAATTATTCATCAAGTATTTTACAGAAAAGTTATAATCTCTGACTCAATTTACTAATTGAATCTTATTAAAACATTTTAGTTTATTTTCTCAGATTCTGCCATGGAAGAGAAAACCTGTCTATGCACAGTTATACACAGTGGAAACAAACTATAAATCTTTTAATGGATGAAGAAAAGAAAGGGTGAAGTAGATGACTCGCCAATTTAGACTCATCAATTTTCCTTTAAATTTGTTTTCTGACATAATATTTTCTGTGAATTTCCTGATTATTCATCTGATGAGAAAAGCTAACTTTGAGGGGAAAAAAAGTTTAAATTTGTTCCTGTTTTTTTTTTAAATTTAATGGCTAATTATTTTTTACAAGCCATATTACCAACTTGGAGACTTTTGTCAACCAGCATAGCCCTAAAACATGAAAAGGGAACAAGTCACTCTACAACAGAGCAGAACTAAACTGAGAGGAGGCTGTGCAACCAGTGACAGAAATACTCCTGCCAGAGTTGGGATTTATACCTGTACAACTTGAGGCTGGTACTTTTCACAAGTGACTTATACATTAAAAATAAAACCACACACACACACACAAAAAAAAACAAAACAAAAAACAAACAAAAAAACCCAAAACAAAAACAAAAAAACCAACCCAAAGACAATTTTTCTGTCAGAGCACAGATTCAAACAGGAAAATAGTTGACACGTTACCAGTGCAGTTCTTCTGGAAGTTAGGATTCTCCAGTGGGTGCCCCGGGATGCGGCACTGAAATCTGTGCTGCCAGAATTCAGGAAACCAGGGGTTGCGGGTGTTGGTGTCCAGACGCAGCTTCAGATAGTAGTCATCAAATGCCAAGACCTCTGGAGACTGCAGTTTGATAGTAATGCCTCCATTTGCTTCAGGTTCATAACCTTCAATGACTTCATCTCTATCTGCCCAACCGTCACTGAAAAGAGGCAAAAACCCACTTATTACACAAAGATAGGAAGCTTGTTTTGAAAAAGCAAACAGCCAAAAGCAAGCCAGCACCCTTGGAAGCAAATGATTAAGGGGGAATCTAAAGGTGTGTCTAAAATTCAGGCAGAGAGGGAAAGAAGAAAGCAGAGTGATGGAGACTTCTAATGAGCAGTCTGACTGATTTCATGCAGAGTCCTTACTAACTTGTCTGGAATGATGAGGATTTATCCTTGTCCCTCTGCAAAGATTTTTTGGGCATAGCTTCTGGTGTGATGTCTTTATGACTGAAGAGATTCTGCCTTATTTAGGCTGTCCTGTAAGGGGTAGAAACTGAAAGAATTCATACTGATGGAAAGGAAACTGAGCCAGGATCCTGGGTGTTTTGCAGAATGGACCCCAGCATGCATGGATCTTACAGCTAGAAGAGTAATTCAAACCAAACATAGTCAGAAATAAATTGTGTTGGAAGAGAATGGAATAAGTATACTCAACAATGCTGACCAAACTAAAAAGGAAACCACATGCTGTTCTCACTCTGTGTGGGATTTGTGAGAACACACTGCTGTTTCTTTTTTTTTTTTTTAAACAAACAATGGCTTTCTATTTTACTTCTCTGATTATTCATATAAGGGATACTTTTAAAAACCTAAAGATAAAACTCTTCTTTGGCAACATTATTTCATGGAATGCCTACTTCAACAGATTTGAACAAAGTCGATCAGGCTTAGCATCTAAATTTTAGTTTAGTTCTTTTAACAAGAAGTCAATTGATTTAGTGTCATTCTCCAGTTCTTATTAGTGTCCCCTAAGAACAGTGTTATTACAGTCTAATTTAAGTGCAAATGTAAGTTGGACATTGCTTAATTTTAATATGCTGGGCATGTCACAAGAGAAATAGGTTATTCCAGCACCTCAGATCCAGCTCTGTCCACTCACAATCAGATCAGTGGCACTGCTGCTATGAAAAGCAGACAGATGAAGCACTTCCAGTGGTAAAGAACTCAAGAGGAAAAATGTGATTGACTACTAAGAGAGATGTTTCTGTTTCACCCAAAAGAGGCTTGCATCCTGAACTCCAGACAGACTGAAAGAAAGTACTTATTAGGAGCTTCGTACACACAGCCTTGAGAAGAGTGCTGAGGTGCAGACCATACCAGCTGAGGGCATTTATGAGACACTCGGCATAGGTGTGCCTGGGACTCCACGATGGAACAAGATCTGAAGTAGGCAAGCTCTGCCACAGTCCTAGTCAAACAGGTATAAAGTAACTATGCATCAGGCACGTACGAGTCTTTGGTCTCCAGCCACCAGACTGAACAGCTACATGGTTTAGCTGACATTTGCATTAACTGCTGCATCTGTGCTGTAGGCACCTGGAAAAAAGTGTCAGGTGTCCATGGAAATACAGGAAACACCACATATTGAATGCTTTCCATACAGGACACACAACTGAAGCCTATATTGCAAGAATCTACTTAAGATGTGGGACATCTGTCAGCCCACTGCATGATCAACAGAATCCTTTCAACCTGTGCCCAGGGACTCACAAAACTGTAATTTAAGTTGGTACAACATGGTACCTTCAAGCCAGGATTTCTTCTTTGTTTCCCCGTTTGCCAAGGCCTTGCAGTAGAACTGCCCAAAATTTCTGAGCGTACAAACCATCAAACAATATCATCATGTAGCCAAGCAGCTTGAGATACATGTGTATGCAGGTGGCATCTCACACATGGTATGAGAGCGGAGAGACAGGGGAGGTACAGGGAGCAGGTCACAGGAGGGAAACAACGATGGCTGAAGAGTCCCTCTGCGGAATGGGGGTGGGCTTGATGTGGTGTCCCAAAGTGACTCTCTCTGCCAGGCTGAACCCAGTAGTATCTGCCAGGTCACTTCTTCCCACAGCCAGCAATGCAGGTTACCCAGCTCCTGCCCTTGCACCAGTACAGCCTGAATGACAACCATGGGGCACAGCTGTGGCCTGACAGCTGCACTCGAATTGCCCCAGGAGTGCACAGAGTTCAGAAATGACAACTTGTCCATCCCTGCTCCCTGCCCCTCTATGCTGCATTGAGCTTTGGAGAAGGAAAGAAGCCACAGCGCATCCTCGCTCCATACCCCCTGCTCCTCACTTGTCCATATGCTGAGGGCAACTAGTGAAATGTCCTCTGCACCCTTCCTCATGACAGACCACGGTCTAGATAACCCTACAAAGGTAAAACCAGGAGAACCAGCTTCCTGAATTTCACATAATTCAAGCCTATAAACTAGCACTAGAAGGGAGAAAAAGATGCAATATTTATTTATTTCTTCTTCCGTGGGGGGAAAACAAGCAAGAGGTCACTCTTACAGCACAAGTAATTGAGTCTTAATTGCATGATTACTTCATTATTTGTCACAATGTTTATGGCTGGCAAACCACAGACTCAAGAAGAAACATTAGGGAGTCAAAAAGATTAAGTAAATCAGGCCATTTTTAACAAGACTTTCTAGAAAGGAGGTAGTTTTCCTACAGTTTAGATTCCTACCAGCCAAACATTAGAGTGATTTATTTCCCCTCCCCTGTAAGTTTGGCTTGGAGAATTGCCACAGTCACTCTGAAGGCAAAGCAGAGCAATTTTGCAAAGGCAAGAGAAAGTGTATTTCAAGTTCTCTGAGGACAGCTGATGGAAAAGTTCCCCTAAACTGGAACACAGATTGTCACCCTAATGTCTCTTTACCTCTTTCTGGCCCCAAATGTTTTTCGTTCTCTCTTCAACTTCCTCAAATTATTAAATCTGTCTGATAAGTTTTGCTTCCAGGGAAACATGAAGAAAAGGCACTAGAATCACACAAAAAAGTTTATACATGTTGAAGGTCGTAGGGGAGCTTTGCTCTACTTTCAATAAAGTCAAGGAAGCAGAAAGGAGTCCTCTGGTCTCTTAGGGGACCCCTTCCATCCCAGCAGCTGCAGGCTGGCTGTGCTCAAAGGTGCCCTAAGGGGGCCATGCAGCCCTACCAGCAGCCATGGGAGGATTACCAGAGACCTAAAATCTAGTTATAATCTCTGTCTATATTCCTTTTTACTGTGGAAAAAAAAGAAAAAGAAAAAAAAATATTTTTGGGAACTGTGTATCCTTAGTGCTGTATGAATAAATAGATAGCGTTACAGAAGATAATGTTGAAAACATTAAAAACATGAATGAAAACATTTTCATGTTGTTGACATGTCCTAATGCTGGACAACAGCACGATACTGAAGTCTAGATGACAGTGTGCATGTCAGTGACAGAATCACAAGACCAATAGCTGATTCAATCAAAAAGTTAAATCTCATTTTTAAAAAAGACAGTGCATACTACTCTTTCATTGTCAGAATCGAGTACTTTCCACCTACTTTCCTTCTTTTATCCTGCTGAGTAACAAGTAGCACTACATGTAGCACCTTTTGCAGAACCACCTTGTGTGCCTTTATTGCAGATTTCAGGAGGTGGCCCAATATCCGTCACCCAAACTGCCTTCCCTGATGAGTGTCCATTGTAGGTTTTGTGTGACTTTCTGGCCTTGAAATGTGCTGGGTATCTTGTGCAATAGTTGATCTGAAGCTCTGCAAGGTGTCTAAAGGGTGAAGGCAGAAACAGTGAAGGAGGTGGGTGTCAAACCAGCAACCACTCTGTCAGTGCTTGAGAGAAAGAACCAACAGCTCTTGTTACAATTTTCTGGTGTTTATCACAATCAAAATGGTCACTGATATTCTGCAAGCTACTCTTGGTCCAAGCCCCAGTCTGGTGGCTGACACTGATGATGCCAAATCTAAATTTCAGCATTCAGTCACAAACAAAAGTCAAGCAGAAAGGGGGAAAAGCCCATGGCTACCCCATCTAGCTTCAGAAGTCCTGTTTCCCATTATCACACACTGTTTGAAGAAACAAAGCTATTTTTTTCTTAACCACTTTACTATTCTGCTGATGTGTGACAATGGACACTTCTGAATTGTGTCTTCAGCATCTTAGCCCCTCTGTATTTTCTGAACTGCAGGCACATATATTCCTGTGACTGAAACACCAGGAGAAATGTAATGGATTTCCAATTTCCTCTCCTCTTCCAAACATGAACACTGTCAGCTGCTTTTCACAGGGGCTGATGAGACAACCAGCAATCAGGCTTTCTATTTTCATCTCCTCAGGACTTAACTCTTAAAATATGCAGCAGCAGCTTTGCTCTGCTTCCCTGCACAGCACTCAGAGCATTACTATTCCAGATGCTTTTTCCAAATAAGCAAACACATATAAAAGAAAACATGCTGTTGTTTATGAAGCCGACTTGCCCTGTGATTATTGTAGGAAGTAGCATCCTTTCACAGGTAAACAAAATGAAACACGTTTGTCAGTTGTGGACAGTGACTGGCAATTTGATCCCTGCACCCTCATAATTTATATTTCTGCACCTTGATCTGATGGACCAAAGCTGTAGAGGGTAACTGATTTAGACTCCTCTGTCTGGAGGGCTGCACCATTGGCAGCTTTGTCAGCTCCCTTGGCATTAGCTAAGGTAATGTTTTCTTAAGAAGTTTGCCTTCATGATAAGGCTTTTTTATGCTGTGTTGGACAAGTCATAAAATATATAAAAGAAATTAAGAGCAAAAAGCCCTTTATAAATGCTAAATGAATTAATTTTGCAATAATCCTTCTGCCTACAGCAGATATTCTTGTCATTATAAAACAAAATAAATCAATCTTATTAAAATAATTTCCATCTTTTTTTGGACAGGTTCTGTATTTGTTCTAGTGGATATTTTTAGCCACTTTGAAAACACTATTACATGTTGCTATACCTATGCAAATTGGAAACACTGGTTTCAAACTTTCAACCTTCACAGAGGTTCCCTGCAGACATCCCACACAGGTAGGGTAGCAGGGCCCCAGGTGACCATAACTGTCACACAAAAGGATCAGAGTCTATATTCTTGCCTTTCTCTCCTTTCCACAAAACTAAAGCCCGTGTCAATATACTTTCCTTCTCATGTTGCTACAA